TAAACTGTCAAAGATATGAATAAATAAACGGTTTTTCCATCACTTCCTCAAAAGAGCCATGCCTTAATGGTGCTGAATAGAACATACTGCTCTGTGCTTGGAATCACAACGCCTTGGTATTTTTTAAGATAGCCGACCTCTTGTTTCCAGGCCCTTACATATTCAAACGAGCGTTAAAATCCGCGCTCGATTCCCCGCTGAGAAAACCATTCGTTAAATCCCCGAACCCCSGGTGCAATAATGCTCTTAAAAGTACATCAAAAACGCGTCACGTCCCCGTTCAGTGCCCCGCTAGCCGCGGGGGTCGGGAGGCGGGGGTTTCAATTGACTAGTGCATAAGCACTAATCTTGTATGCCATCAGAAATGTCAGGTTTATAAGGCAACATTGAAAACTGATACAGCCCTCAGAATGAAAGGTAGCGAATGTACAGTTGGACACGGTGATTGCACGGTGGACGCCAGACAAAAGAGTGCATGAAAAAACGGATAGAATAATCCCGCTTTCGATTGACTCAGGGTTTGAGCTCGATGTCACGTAGATCGCGTGTGAATTTAGACGCCTTTGAAGCTTATACAACATTACAACCAATATTGTAATATTGATGTTAAATTTAACAGGTACGTCGGAGAATTGTTTTGTAAGGGTTTTGAAATCAAATTGTGTTATTTCAATACAAGATCTCTTGAGGGAATTCTCTTTGAAAGTCTCACCGTCAAATGTTGTGTAGCCGTAGTGAAATGTAAAATGATTATTATGTAGCGAATATAAGTCGAAGAAATTATCTTTTTAATGAGCTTTTGTGGTACATTTTGTTAATTTGCCATGGTATTTTAGTACTAACTTCACACTTCTCCCGCTGTTTACTATTTTCGTGAATAGACAAGAAAGGTTCTGGTGACCGCTATCAGTCTCTTCACCGCGAAACTAAAACAATCAAGAAAGATCGGAAAAGATCTTGGTTCAATAAGTATTGTTAATAACTAAGTCATAACTACTTTTCATGAAGAATCGTTCACATTAGCAAAAACAACCAAAGATCTATAAAAGTTTTAGAATATATATATACATAAATAGGGTGGCTAGCTCTTACTACTAACTAAATATCTTATGTTTTAGTTGAAGTCTTGAACAGAAACCCATTGAAAAAGATRGCAGAATGAACATGTATTTCGTAAACCTAGCTATTGAAAGACCCCTCGACCAGAGTGTTCAGAAAAATCTATACTTATTTCTCAAACTGTTTAAGTATTCATGGCATGTTTTTGTTTGTTATTCGCTTGAATACTCTTCTTTTCGGTCGTCATTTTGTTTTTGGTTTCTAGATGTAAACAGGTAATTCCAAGGCAATGACAAAATGAAGCTGGCTTTGCTCTTGTCTGTCTTGTCGTAGGGAAACAAGGCAAAAAACTTTGTGTAAACTGGCAAAAAGCCAAGAATGAAACTCTTAGCGCTCCTCTTGCTTGTTTGTTTCGTTCTTTACGAAGTTCTTCAAGTAGAAGGTAAGTGTAAGCTACAATGGGTTGAACTAAAGCTTGAAGTAATTTTTATTTGAACGAAACCTAATGTAAACAAAGAGAAAATACCTAGTTTTAACCGTAAAAAAGGATAATGAGCGTTTAGTTCATGGAATCGAATCTTTTCAAAATAACGATTAAAAGATTTTGTTTTAATTTTTAAAGTTAAAGATTTTTTAAAAGGAAAAAGCAGCGAACAAATTTGCTAGTTTTCATAAAAATTGGATAACCTTGCGGGCGTTGTTGAATTTAAACTTCAAGTAAAAACAGTTAATATAGAAGCAGCCAGTCAAAAGGAGTAATTTTTTAATATTTGAAATACGAGAATTACGAAAAGCAAGCAGAACTAGACAAAGAAAAATATTTCGTTTGTGTAGTCGAGCAAGTGGCGTGTCACCTACTTTGACCACCTTTCATCAGTACGCAACCTTTGACGGTCAACGTACTTTTATCGAAAAGAACTAAAGAAGCTAATCACAAAATTATTGGCGGAGTTTGCTCAAGACGTTTTTGTCATAAAATCCCGCCATTAGACCTCATCATTTTAATAACTGACTTGACATTTATACGGTCGTCAACTGAATATTCAAACAAAGTTTGAAGTTTGTCAATACTGACGTAGTTCTGGTATATCTTGTAGTAGTCAGTGAATGGCTAATCGTGTTACTCGTGGAAAAATTTCTCGTAGAAGTATTAAGGTTTCGCTCGAGAATCAATTGACTGGAATAAACTGAATGAATATTATTGGCTGATGATGCAAACGTTTTTACAATTATTAAGTTTTAAAATATATTTTGTCTTTTGTTTTGACAGGAAAATCGAAGCAAAATGTCGTGAAAAAATTATTACAAAAATACATTCATCACCACAAGCATCCCCATCATCACAAGCATCATCACCATCATGTCCATCATCACCATAAACACCATCATCACCATCATCATCACAAGGCGCATCCCCACCATAAGCACTGGCATCATCACCACCATCACCATCACAAATCATTCCATCAGAAGCTTGTTGAGCAACTGAAGAAGGAAAAGCAGCAGCATCATGTACAGAATGCTGTCAACCAAAGGGCAACTAAACGACAATCTCTTCCACAGCTACTTGTTAGTCTGGGTAAAGGATTCATGCAGCTTGGCCAACATCTGGGAAACAACGAATCACATGCAGATGTCCAAGCCAAGGGCTCCACGATAAGACATGGTACGATATAAAATAAACATTTGATGTTGCCAAGGATATCCTTCAACTTTACTACACCGCGCAGGCTATAGTAGCTAAAGCTATGGCTGGCAGATTGATTGACCGATACTTTTATGAAAAGTATTTTTAAACTTATTTCGGCTTTTTATCATGCCTGGGAAAGGATTTTTTTAGATAGAATAAAGGCTCAGTTCCATATACGTCGAACTGCACATGAGCCGAACTAAAATGAAACAATGGAAAACAAGGCGGTCTTCCTTGCTGTTAGTAAGATTGTCTCATATGATCATGAAGTTCGACGTTTGAACTAAGCCTAAGTTGTCTTAATTATGACTCCGACGAGTATGAATGATTTGCTTGTTCTAACCACTCACAGGGCATTTTTTAACATGAATCAACTTTTGTTGCAGCATTTATTGCAGGTTTCCCTAGACTGCGAGCTAAGTCCCTCTATATATGTTTATGTTATATATGAAATATGTTTTCTTAAATGTTTCCAAAGGTGGCAGGAAACATATCGGGAAACATGTTCACTCAACATCGGTTAGCGTATGCGCACTTTCTTGTTTACTACCGTCCCCTCCTCGTCCATCATCTTGTTTTGACGAAATAGAGCAAGTGTTGCTATGTAAAGAACTTTTAGAGAATGTTGACTTTCGTAACGAGGCATCAGGAAACATAGTTTTCCATGTGTCTTGGATCGAAGCATGAAATGTTTCTGACATAAAGCTAGCAGAAAGATCTTTGCGTCTTGGAAACAAAATTTGTTGCACGCAGCAATGTTTTCCTTGTGGCTAAACTGGGAAACATCGGGGAAACATGCGCGCAGTTAACATGTTTCTGGCAACTCGTTTCTTCGTTATAACTAGGGCCTTGAAGGCTGCATGATGTCATGCAATTCTATATCAGTTGAAGACAACGGTTTCTTCCATCAGGTTTTAAATAATGCTTTTCGTCCCGATGATGAATGGTTCAAGGAGCGAAAGTTTGAAYTAGAATAAACCCTGGTTAAACTTAAAGTCTATAACCATTAACATGAAGTAAYGCAACATCATGCATCAATCATTCATTTTATTGTTCTATTACATTTCTAGCTCCCACTCCAAAGCCCATGGTTCATGATCAAGTTGCAACTACTCAGGCTGCCACTAGAGCCTTTGCCACGCCTTCACCTACATCTGAATATGACCGTGAAAATGATAACAGTGATGACATCGGTGGGGCTGCTCTTACGTCTGCTCCACCTACTCCAACTGTATCTCAGAAAGTCACAACCTTTGACGGGGATGCTCCACAATCAAACGATCGGGAGATGACAGTGCACATGCCCCATCCTAAGAATATAGATTCATCGATCATTACTCCAACTCCACAATCTGAACCAAGTCCAAGACCAAGTCCTAAACCACAAGGTACTACTTATGACGACATTTCTTCACCTACTGACGACAAACAAAAACCAATGAAGCCGACAGTGATTCCAACTGCCTCAAGAATATCAAAGCTCAATCAGGATCCATCAGTGAAACTTAAAATGGCTTCTGATTCAGATAAGGAGAATGAACCTATATCATCCCAAGATCGAGTAGATAAAGCCAAAGATATTGATGAACATCGAGATAGTTCTATACCGAAAATACCCAAGGTAAAAGAGGAGGAGAGTATACCAAATCCAAGCATTGAGATACCAGCAGACCAAGCACGTTCACTTGAATACAGTCCTGCAGAATCAGCCATTGATGGAAGAGCAGAAGACGAGTCTTCTCACAATGAACAAGATAGTCATTTTGGTACTTCCCAAACCAGCAACGAAAATCCCAGTCCTAATCTTTTCGTTAGTGAAAAAAATATCGGTGAAAATGTAGGCCAACTGAGAATAAATGCTACACAAAATATTGACAAAGTTATGGAAACTAATACAGAAGACGACATTTCTTCTAATGATGAAACAAAAGGATCTGCAACAAGGAATACAAATGAAAGCCCCAATAAACTGGACGGAGATCAAGTTAATGGGTTATCCCAAACTAAGTCAGAAGACACAGCGAAGGTCGTAGAAACAACATCAGAGGATTCACAAGCTGAGGAAAGCATTGATGGAAAACATTCAGCAGAACCAAGTGGCAGTAATACAAACACAGAATTCAAAACAGAAGCGAACAGTACCGCTTCTAACGAGATCATGGACGGAGAAGTTCTACCTACGGAGATTGAAAGTCGTCATAATTCTATGGATGACTTAAGCTCAAAGGCTACTACGTTTTCACCAACGGCAGCATTAAAGTCAAGTATGGAATCTGTTGAAGGAAATGCTAAGCCATCCAGCCAAGATTCTGATAGCACTACAGACAGGGTACCTGCTCAACCTTTAAGAAGTCAAGACTCTGAAAGCACTAGTGTCGATGGAACCACTCAACCATCGGGCCAACAAGATTCTGATCACAAGGTTACCAATCAAGCAAGTCATGAAATTAATGGTAGCATAAATGAGGTCACTCAGTCAGCACCTCATCCTGATGACGATCTTGCAGCAAAATCACCTTCAGAAGAATTATCTGGTAGCACTAAGTATGCAGATCAAAACGCTCAACCAACAACTCAAACCGATAGTAGTAGAGAAGAACTTGCTAGACTACCAACCCAACAATCTGATAGTATCACAGATGGAGAAGTACAGTTCACAAGTCAGTCGGTCAGTAATAATTCTTTGGATGGATTGGGATCGGCCCATGGAGATGATGATATCATGGTTGGATCTGGAGCTAGTGAACCATCAAGCCACGATACTGGGGAATTAAAAGACGCATCATTATCAACCCTAGGAACGAATAACACCGCGGAARTTACAAAATTAGTCACAACCAGTTCTGGGACAAATGGAGATGATGTCAAAACTGGAGAAAGGGTTGCAATTCCACAATCATCAAAGCAGGATAGTGAATATTTCCAAAATGCATCACAATCGGGTCCCGTATCTAACAGTACACTAGTAACTGGTGATTCTGACCCTTCCGTATCTGATTATGTACCCACACAGGAATCAAATGATCAGTCTACTAGTACTGCGGCAACTCCATTGAAAAGCAGTGACCATAGCCATTCTGATGATATTGTAGGTGGACCTCCCCACAAAGCACCAGTTTTTCAAAGCAACACGACTTTGGATGGTCAAGAATACGATGAAACTAAACTAGGGGAAACTGCTCAGTTATCAGACGTCCCCGTAGATGAAGCATTCAATCCTACTGGGGAGCACTTAGCTATGGATAACAAGAGAGAAGAGGAACAGAATAAAGTCACCAACAATGCAGTAAAGAACTACGAAGAACACCAAGAAAAAGTCAACTCTTTTCCAAGTGAGATAGAAGATGGAGAGGTCCGTCCTCCAACTTACAATACTGTGCCACCTAAGACCGAAGAAATCAATACTTACAGCAACTCGAATGTTCCTGCTATTTATAATTAGGTATCGAACAACTAGCGCAATGAAGTTGCACTGGGAATATTCGCAAGAGAAAAAAAGTACCTTTAAGATTCATGTTTCAACCTCAAGAATATGAAATATAACTTCAACACACAGATCTAGAAGTATTTTTCCAACGTCCTATGATGTTAGTAGACTGATGCCTTACAGAATAGGGAACATTTTGTAAACTCATTAGATAATATAGAACTTGTAGTCAGGTCTCTTATGGCAAAATATAGGTCCCATCGTTACAGAAGTGACAAAAGCGCCAAATTTGGCAGAGATGTTCCTTAGGATCCACTAAATAATGTTAGAGGGGGAGCCCAACGCAATTCTTACAATTAAGGGGGATTAAGGGGTTTTTAAAATTTACCTTAATTACGAATTGGGCTACCTGTGGTGGTTTGCAGTTTTCAAGTAAAACAGCGCACAAGAAATGCAGTAGTGACATTTATTGACTGAAACTATTATGCTTACTCATTTCTTCGCATATACATTACATGAGGCTTTTGGATATATACTAGTTCCCAGTCCCTTCTCGCCAAAGCTTATTGCAATTCACGTTCCCTTTCTCAAATTCGCATTTTGAACCTAAATTACTGCTGTTAGATCGATATATGTTCGCGAAACAAATGTACTTTTAAATAGCGCTAATAGAAACGCCAAGAGATAACTATATTATTTGAATTAAGTTAGGGCTACATAACGGAAACAATGTTCGATCGCTGAAACTCTTCAGATTGTCCCTTAAGCTTTATGCAATTACTTTGTTAGCATTGGCATCTACAAAGGGGGGTACATCCCAAGGAAGCCTTGGCACACTTGCATCTTGTACAGGCACGTTTGCAAGAGCACTTAATCAGTTCACTGCAAGCCTTGGATACTTCGGGAATAGTGATCCATTTCGGAACCCATTTGCCATCAACTTCAAACCACGAGAACTGCCCTGGTGATGGCACAGGTGGCTGTGGCTGATTGCTAACWGTCCAGATACCGGCCTGGTAAACGGTGCGCCGGGCATGCTGCAAAAGGGCATGGCCTGCAAACAACAACATTGTCGATGTTATTAAGGATTATTTAGAAAGAGATTGATCCTAGTTTCATGGAAAGAGGGTGCAGCGGGTTAGTTCAAACTTGTCATTGCGAGTATGTGTCCTGTTAGCGTCCTGGACCCCTGACTCTTCCTCTCATAAGTGAATTGGAGACAAATTGTGATAAAGAAAAAAGTAATATTTACCTGTGTAGGCGGGAGCTTGTCCATTGCTCTGCTGTTCTTGCAGAATAGCTCCATCCGGGTTAGGTTGATGTCGGATAAGGGACTGAGCTTATCGTACAGGATTACCGTGTATCTCTCGATCTGTTTGAAGAGGGGCGAGTCTGTCGTAAGCTGCATAAATGGCGTTTTGGCAAGCATTTCAAATGTGGGCGTGACTTCTGGAAATATCTCCCATGCCTGCCAGGCTGACTTCTTCCCTTTCCCAAAGAAGCAGGAGGTGGTATCGCATCCAGTTAATGCGTGGAATACAGGCAGGGAAGTAGATCGTGGTTTACCAAGTACAGCACAAATAGAGTTGACGCTGACGAAGGGAAAGTTTCGACCCATACCAAAGGCAAGCCACAGATCAAGTTCCGGCTGGACTTCTCTCAGGTCATGAAATTTTCCCACCAAGATGACTAGGACATCGGTATCCACGGTTCGGACGAGGACAGTTTTCACCTCTTCAACTTGGATGGCGTGAAGGATATGGACCACAACCCTC